CGCGCGCTGGCCTTCCTCTTATAAAAGATTCGAAGTAAAAAATCATAATAAGGCTTTAATGAACATGCGTGCAATGCAAAATTTGTTTTATACTTTTTGCTTTAGAACGGTTACTACTGCAGACGCCAGCATGTGCGACGCGTGCAACTACAGTCATAGCATGCACCTCGGTGCTTAGATAATTTAGAAAAAAGGTCTGTTGGGACGCTGTCTGCTTCTGTGTGCTATCAACAATCTGCTTTCCAAAGGTTGCCATGCCGACAATTATCGCGTTCATTTAGGCTTAGGAATGCCCAGAATCGAAAGACTATCTAAAAAATGCGGCGATGTCATTGCCCATGCTTTGGGGTTTAAGTGAGGTAAAGCAAAGCGAAAGCCTCCTGCACAATTCGTTGCTGACTAACGCGCCCGATATTGCAGCTACAACGACATATTAGTTCCAAAGCGAGCGGCGCTCACTTACTGGTGCACCGCCATGTTTCCCCGCATCCCTACCGAGCCAGTCACGTGATTTAAAAAAATCCCTCTCCTAGGTACTGCGGCTAACTTTAGCCGCGGTTAGCGCTTCGAGCAAACGGGCCCTGAGCTCATCCTAACTTTTGTCAAGTTCAGAAATTTCGGAAATCCAGCTTGGTCGGTTTTAATAAATTGACAAGTGGTCTTTTTCGTACATCTTCAGGGGCTGCTAGTGTCGGAGGGCATCTTGTTTGTTCAAACTCAAGGGAATTTTGGGCAGATAAAATGTCTGTGCGATTCCCCAAATTTGTGCTTTTTTCTAAAACACGGTCATCAAACAATTGCTCAAGGGGTTTCTGAGTTTCTGTCACGCTCTTTATAGTTTTCACACAATTTTATGCAACACGTTGTTTTAGATTTTTTTTAATCTTAAACAGCAGGGAAACACCTTCCAAACAAAGAAGTACAGCTCGGATTATCTTTAACTCTGCAAAAAGCAACTTTGGTGCACTGAGTGCCAGACCTGCAAGGAAGTGTCATTTGACATGGCACTGCATTACCACATATTTTTTTTTTTTCTATGATGCCACTTTGAGAATTTTCTGATCCCACCTCGTAGTACCACTCCAAGCTTCTTATTTGTCTCTATTTTGACTTTGTGCAGTTCTGACAAGACAGTATGACATCTGGTGGTTAGGAGTACTCTCTTGATACAGACCACTGATCTCAATGTCATATTGTTTGTCAATGTAGCAGTTTAGCATTGCTGCAGCTGCTGAGCCACCAGATTGCCACTACCAAATAGCACATTAACATGGACAATATAAGTTTCATTAAGTTGCTATCAGATGAAGCCACAACTGCACTACATTGTGCATTTTTACCAACTTCTCAGCTTTATATCAACATGGTCCTTACATGACAAATAGATATGGAGGTAATAGTAAATATTGAATTTAAAGTTGAGAATATTTTTTTTGGTGGTGCCATACATGTCCTGCTTTTGAGATGACTGGCAAACCAGAAAATAAACAAAAATAAACTTCACTGTTGATGTGTATTTTTGTTTCAGGTGTATGTCGGTGCAAACATCTGGGTACCAAGCAAGAGCTACTCGGACTTGCTCGCACGCACCAGAGATTCGCTGTTCGTCAGAGAGGCAGCAGTGATTATTTTTTCTACATCGGGCCTGGCAGGAAAGAGCGTCACCGGGATATCCTCCAACCGCACAAAGAATTCGCCGAAGCCGGCACTTGAGGATTTCAAGTTCAAGGCTCTTGGCAGTAAGAATTACTTTAACTCATTTCTTCTTTGTACTAGGGTATTTCTGCAACCAGGGACTAGTCTGTTAACATTCACATATATTTACTTGATTGAGGAAATGGCTGTAGTCCAGAGCTCATCTTGTCTGAATAAGATATGCTGTGAGCCATTGTATAGTGGTGCCATCGACTTCCAGAGGAAGCCTGCTATAGTGCAGATTTTTATTCTATGGCAAGCCTTGCTTTGCTTAAAAGAGAGTTGTCATAAGGCAAAGTAGTGCCACTAGTAATTAGAGGCATCTTGCTAGAGGCACAATATTATTGGAGTTTTTGCTTCGAGTCCTGGATCAATCAGTATCTGTTTTGCAGAAAAGAAAGCATACACCTCTTTTTCTACATCAGCTGAATTGAAGTATGTCTGTTTTTTGTAGCATTCTTCTTGCACTACCTGGTGCATCGTTGCAAGTGTAATCCCAAGTGCGCGACCACGTGCAAGTGTAAAGTCAAGAGCGATTGCAAGTGTGAGGCCCAGCATGGATGTCAGATCCCCAAAAGGCTGGCTCTTCTCAACAAGCATGTGGCTTCAAAGATTATGGATATTGCCAGACGGGAAGGTCGTAAGTGACTGCCCTCTCTCACAAGCTAGGGATGCAACTAAGCAGCTGGGCTATGTCTGTTAGTGATGGCAAATGGCAGCCTTTCAGTGTCCTGATTCGAAAGATCACTTTAAATGTTTAACCTTTTGCAAAATTACCCAAGCATCAAGGAGCTTGCAGGGAACATAGTTTGCACGTGCTGCGTGCGCCAATTGCCTTACCTGTAATAAACATTCGAAATAAATCGCAACAAAAAGGCATTTGTGGATGCACGTGCAAAGTGCCACTTGTTTTAGATTTTTGTTTCCAAAAAGTTCTGGCACGTACAACGTACAGCGCCTGTAACTATGTTCCCTGCATGCTCCTTGTTGCGTGCATAATTTTGCAGAAGGTCTATTCGCAGAACATAGGGGGGTAAAATATTTTGCAGTCTGTCTTGCCACAGAGGTACTTCCATTGAAGTTTGAGTATTCTGTAATGCGCAGTTTATCTGTGGGCTGCAAAAAACCTCTGAATGTTTTCTTTGGCAAGCCTAGCTGTAATGATGGTAGAAATGGGACAATATGCAATTCACTAGCATACCTGCCAACTCTTTCGAATTTTTCGTAAAATGTAAGAATTGGGACTAATTTTACGATTTTACGAATCTTGCTTCAAATCTTACAAAAAATATACTTTTTTTTTTTTTTGTTTTTGTAACTCCGTTGTTGGCGGTATCTTGCACCGCCACAAGAGGACGATAGGTACCGTCCACAGCAGCGTCGTGGTTTTTACTATCCGTCTATTCGGTGGCCACCGATCGAAAACCAATCCAAAGCTCAAAGCTTTTGTTTGTGTGTTCGGCGGTGCACGGGTGCACGTTGGTTCGGCGTGTTCAGACGTTGGGCCTGGTTGTTTTGGCCAGTTTCGAGGCGAGAAGTACGGCGTCTGTGTTTGTTGCATGTGTAACTGTAGCATCTGTAGCATTCTCCTGGTCACTGTGGCTTTGCTGCGCAATGCCGAACTCCAAGCCTCGAAAGAGGTACTTTCAGGTGTTCCAGAAGTCCTACACGTGGAAATTTCTGTGCTTCGTGCCGTCCAAAAAGCGAGAGAAGTTAGGATTCTGTAGCACGTGCACGTGTGATGTAAGCGTTTTGCACGCTGTGCAGGCTGACATTAAGCTGCTCATCGCTTCGCGTAAACCCCCCCTGCCACGGCCGCGGGACTTTTACGAATTTGAAAGTCCACAGGTTGGCAGGTATGCACTAGTATCTATTCATTTATATCCATTTTATTTACGAACCGAAGAAGAACATTAAAAAGGGAAAACAAGACTTGACCTGTATTCTAGTGCCCAATTTTATTTAGTCATTTCCCAACCATTGGGCTACCATCCTATCTCTTGAAATAATATTTACATTTGAATGCCCTGACCTGTATAGATCTCTAATCAGAGTGACACTGCACCTCCTCAATGTTTTTCAAGAGTGTGTTGTGACCTCCTTTTGCTCTAATGTTTGTAAACGACCAGATCTCATGTGATATTGATGTCTCGTAAATCTCAGTGCTGATTTTTATTACCCTGCCCTTTTGTTGGGTGGGCCGATTTTGTATGTGATATATATGCAAATACCCTATTTATGAATATTGCCTGCATCACTCATTGATTTTGTTTGCTAGTTAAATCAGGGCTCTAGTGCATTCCCATAGATTGGAATTTGTTGTCAGGAATGCACTAGATAAATATAAAACATGTAAAAAGTGTTATTAATGTGCATTGTTTATACGACCAACTTTCAATGCCTATTTTATTTGGTTCCTGTTAACAGTTTTCCTTATGCCTTCCTCCAATACAAGAGCACAGTGTGATTTAAGCATACTTTATTTTTATAGCGGTAACAATTGAGTTGGGCGAGCCTCTTCGTGTGACAATATTTGGGTCCTGTTTGTCTTGGTGCTATGCTTGAGCTGCTTATGTCAGTACCTTGTGTAAGCCTTTTTTCTTTATAATTGAGCTTACAACCTCTGTTTAATCTTAAATAGTTTTGTTTTATGCGAGCCATTCAAAGGGCTTTTGTCCATGTGCAATTTTTATTTGTCTCAAGTTTCTTCGTTGTGTGTGCGCTCCTGATTTGCTTAGTTTTCTGTGCACCCATTATTTTCAAATCGAAGCATTGCAAATGAGGTAGTTGTTTTCGTGGACGTGAATGCGGACATTATTAATATATTTGAAGTGTATTTGCAAGGATTGCAATAAAGTGTACAATGGCAGACTATATTATATGCCTATCGCCTTTCCTTTAAAAAGGCCCACACTAACGAACCCTAAGCTTATCGACTAGTATGGTAATACGCCAATATAGCAATAATCAATAGACGGATAGATCAATACGCTGATAGGCCAATACGCCAATTGGCCAATACGCCGATTGGCCAATACGCCGATAGACCAATACGCCGATAGACCAATACGCCGATAGGCCAATACGCCGATAGACCAATACGCCGATAGACCAATACGCCGATAGACCAATACGCCGATAGACCAATACGCCCATAGGCCAATACACCGATAGGCCAATACGCCGATAGACCAATAGACCGATACGTGTCAATAAACCGATAGCCCTATTGGTTTTCTCTATTGGAATTTTTGTTAGGGTCGAGCTAACTAAAACTATGGTCATTTTGTTTGTTTTCTTTGCAGGCTGTTCCACAGCAGGAAGTGATTTCAGGGCAGGAACCCCCCATTTTAGTGCTGCAACAGGGTTGGTGCCACTCCAAAATGAGCCTCAGGCAACTCGTTCCGATCATGTCACTCCAAGTAAGCAAAATGAGAACTTGCTGTTGCTGTAGCTCCTTTGTGTTCTGAGGATTTGCAGTCATCTAGGCCATAGCACCATAAAAGTTAAAGATTATTAATTAGTCTATCCCAGCCATGCCCTGCTATATAATATCTTTCTGCTCAGTCAAGGTTTTACAGGTATTGTCTACCCGGCCATGTCCTGCTTTATTAAAGGAGCTGTGCAACAGTTTCAGTGCTTTGCTTAACTAATGTGGAAGTTGGTGTCTCGGCATTTCTGAAGTAAAGAACAAAAAAAACGCATTCGCCTGCATGCCCTAGTTTTAATTTTAAAAATGGACAAAGATTGAGGTTTTCGGCGCCTCTCAACTCATTCACTATCTTCCGAGTCAAGTGCACTGTGACGTCAATGGGAAGGCGCGGGGTTCCGGTGAAGCTCTCTTTAGAGCCATCAGTGAGCGGCGAGAACTCATCCGCTTGCTCGTGACCACGTGCTGACGCGCGCAGAGCGAACAATATGGTGAGAGGAGGAAAGTTTCATCACTACCCATCCCGCCATGTCCCCCTCCCCCTCCGGCTTCTGGCGGCTGTTCGCGGTACCAGGTAGAGCCGACGGTTTTGTGGACCTTGGATAGATGGCGCCACTAAAGCTCCATATAATAAAAGTTTTGTCGATGATACGAGGGTTTTGGCGCATTTATATTTATGTTGGAACAACAAGATTTATAGAAAAGTTACCTTTTATCGAGCAGGTATTCGCACAACTTTCTATCTTTCTACAAGATTCCCCATTGACGTCATGCCGCGTGTTTCTCATGGCCGCCTCAAGCGGCTGCAGTTCAGAAACATCTTGATTGTGGTATCAGAATACTTTTACCTTCGAACAAAAGATTCCTTCGTACCAAATTTGCAGCAAAAAGTGGAACTGAGAAAACTGCATTCAAACATTGAACTCTTTTACTTTGTCACTGCCTCACAATCTGTTGAAAATATTTTATATCAACGGAACTATTTGGCACATAGTTATGAAATTTAGTGTACGGGTGTATAATTAGTTTCTAAAACCAAAAACCTCGAAATTTAAAAAGGAATTTTTTCAAAAAAATTTTGAAACTTAGGCCCATGTCCCCTCTTAAGCTTTTCCAGCTCTTCACTGACTTTCAAAAAATTTAAACCCCTCATTGTTAATGATTTTTTCAAGGAGATCTTGCGCCTACTGCACATCATCCAATTCAAGCTGAATGAACATGCACTGAAGTTAGAGTTGCTAACCACCCTGGTCTCGAACAGCAACGACGAGAACATTCTTGTCTCAGGCGAATCCTTTGGGCCCTTCAATGAACTCGCAACGTTTTTAGACTTTGATGCTTCTGTGGCAAGCTCCGAAGAGAAAAAAAAACGGCTGGTGAGTCTACTTATATAACTTAAGTCTGCTCTTCGACTGCTATTGACAATTTACCCTATATAAAGTGAATAGCCACTTGCACTAACCTTCATTTTAACATATTTGTAAGCACTAAAAACATATCTGCACAGTAGGAGCGTTAAACGGGTTAGAGCAGTTTTAATCAATAGGCCAATTATGGTTTTAGTGGCTTTGAGTATACTGCACGTGGCATACAAGTGAACAAAAATGCACCTTGTGCATGAGAATGTTAGCACGAGCTCGTAAAAGATGAGAATATAAAGAAAAGAAGGCATGCTCAATGGGAAATGCCAAGAATGCTCAAGAAGTGCGCTTTCAGAATGCACCATGAGTAGTGGATACATGGCCAACTAGCGGACAATCTTGCTCACTGTATTGATTGTATTTATTTTAGGGTCCAGCTCTATTGATTCATAGCTTTCATTTTGTAAGATTATGCTGAAATAATGTACGTTAACAGCCGACGACCAGACTCGAGGTTCTGCAAGGCAGAAGATCCTCCTCACCATGGGGAAAAAGAAACCGGCAGCAGTGGGCAGGGTAGAAGGGTGGAGAGGAGCAAGCGGGGCAGAAGTGGAAAGCGCGAACTGGTCGTCGGCCTTTAAGCAAGAAAATTATTTTTGAAAGATATTGGGGTGGTTATGCCGGATGTGTAGTCAAGACGGAAGGGCGTTAGTCTCCCATGTTTGCTACTTGGAAGAGACCTTGTGTCCATTCATTCCGCTAGTAGATTGTGCAATCGCTTCATCTTTTGCCTAGCAGCTAACATTGAAGCAGATGGATCGACTACTATTTGTAATGTGAATGCATTGCAGTGTAGCGGAAAAAGCAGTGGTGAACTAGAATACCTTGGGCTTACAATTCAAATAAAGTCAGAAACTGAACTTTTATGGGAAGTAAAACAACCATAGAACTCCTATTTTAGACAATTTTAAACTTATAGCTGAATACTAATATGGGGTGGAATTCCGTAGTTTTTCATGCTGAAATTACATGGTTGTTCAATGTCAGATGGTCTCCTGGGGCAAGTACGGGGGTTCTTCTGGACCTGACATGACAAGGAGAATTCTCGTTGGACTGCTTTCCGACGACATCGCTGTTCAGTACAGCTTCAAGGGGGGTAAAGGCAAGCGCAAGTTTAACGAACTCGCCTGCTGGGAAATCATTAAAGGTAGGCCTTTCAAAACCATCTTTTCCATTGTGTTAGTATGTATATTAACAGTAAGCGTGCACAATATGAATGTCAATTTACCTGCAAATGTGAATGCTTTGTTACGGAAGTGTTACTGTTGTGCTTTTAAGCAGGATTCACACAAGGGACAAGTCCCCACCAACTGTGGGGAATGTGTACCGCTTTACGAAAACGTCGCCCTTTCCTGCACTAGCGTGGTGACATTGGCACTTCTCCGGGGATGGAAGAGCATTTTATTGGGCGGCATGAATGATACCCGCTTGATGATGGAAGTCGTCATGCTTAGTGGTGTTTGGTTAGTTCATCTGACAGCATGACACAGCATGTTCTCTAGGGTGAGAATGGCTGCAGCAAAATCGGTGCTGAGAGGAGCCGACAAATTTGCTTCTCAAGCTCCCCGTTTGGTTTCCCGACACTGTGAGGGAGAGGCTAGATGGGATAGAGCACTGCATATGCTACTGAAGGTAGCAGGGTTGCGCATTCCTTTAATCAAGGGCTTCGCTGACGGATCGACCCTGTTCCTTGCCTTCTCCAACAAAATTTGCAGACATCCATCAGTTCGAGAGAAATGAGCAAGGCAAGCGCTCTTCGTTGGTCGAAGCTGGTCACGTGTGTGAAATTGTCTACTGGTCACGTGTGTGAAATGTCTACTTGAAATTGTCTACTCGACCTGGGTCGTTTTTAACTAAAAATGCGGCAACTGTATTTGCACCAAGATTTAAGTTTAATAAGACTGTGTTTATAAAACATCCACATTATGTTAATATTAGTCTTAACACTGCACATTTAGTAGTAACAAGGGAAAGAGGTTTTTTTTTTCCCGATTCCCCATGCATTCCCAAACGGAGTTCTGTCTAACGTGGCAGTCGCTGAGATGTCGAACTCAAGTTTGCGCTACTCACTTCCTTCAGGGGCATATATGGTGGTGGCTCTGTGGTTCGGAGGTCCCGACGGCTGTTGACTTCATGCTTTCGTATTGTTTCAGAAACTGTTAAAGCGCAGGGTAAGCTTTCTGGTGCCACGGATTATGATGTCGAACAAACAGTTAAGTCATGGTTGGCCCATTCAAAGGAGAGACTGGACAAAGCAGCCAAAAGTATGTTAAAATATATTTTTTTGATATTAATAATTATTCAATCAACATATTAAATGTGACAAGCATTTAATACAGCTGTGATATTAATCTGTAAACTCATCTTTCAAACATATTTTTTATGACGGATAGTCTTTGGTTTTATCCAGTTAATTACAAGTTAGATTAATGTAAAATACTATTTGCAGAATTATCAGAATCAATGCTTTTAATGTTTTGTAATGGAAACAACAAGAAAGTAGATCTGCAAGAGTATCAAATCATTCTATTTGTTCTTTAAGTGTTAGCTGTATACTGGAACATGTTTGAAAAATAAGTCTCTCAAGCATAAAGACACTATATCGCTATTGTTAATGAATGAATCCTCAAAGTTTACTGGAATACTGATATGCAGTACTGATTAAAAATTGCAGCCCAGCATTACGTGAAAATGTTTCAAAAATTTGTTTCTGGAAATCATTGTTTTGTTTTTAAGTCACTCGTTTTCCAACTGCAACAAAGACAACTTTTGAACCTCATATTAATCAGTTACTTGACAGGTTAGTTCCAAATGTTTCTGGGAACAAAGGGTACAGGGATAGCCCACTAAAGGTTCCTTTGTCCTTCCTTACTTTAAAGAAGTTGGTATGTCTGTGCCACCAAGCCCGACTGCCTAGCATGTCTTCCGCAAGCAGGTAGCTCCAGAGGTAAGGGATGCTTTTGACAGAAACTGCCAATATTTTTGTTTCTCACGCGAGAGTTCTAGTCACTGTGCAATATGTTTATTTGGAGCCAAACAGTCTCAATGGTTATCTATAAGTTGGCAGGTCTATGGAAACGAAATGATTGATGGAGATTAAGTGTTCGGTGATGTTCTGTTTAAAAGTCCTTTCTTCGCTTACTTTCTTTTCAGATTTTGGTGTTACTTCTTCGCCATTAGCCCAATACAGGAGCAGGTAGCTCCAGAGGTAAGGGATGCTTTTGACAGAAACTGCCAATTTTTTTTTTGTTTCTCACGCGAGAGTGCTAGTCACTGTGCAATATGTTTATTTGGAGCCAAACAGTCTCAATGGTTATCTATAAGTTGGCAGGTCTATGGAAACGAAATGATTGATGGAGATTAAGTGTTCGGTGATGTTCTGTTTAAAAGTCCTTTCTTCGCTTACTTTCTTTTCAGATTTTGGTGTTACTTCTTCGCCATTAGCCCAATACAGGAGCAGGTAGCTCCAGAGGTAAGGGATGCTTTTGACAGAAACTGCCAATTTTTTTTTTTGTTTCTCACGCGAGAGTGCTAGTCACTGTGCAATATGTTTATTTGGAGCCAAACAGTCTCAATGGTTATCTATAAGTTGGCAGGTCTATGGAAACGAAATGATTGATGGAGATTAAGTGTTCGGTGATGTTCTGTTTAAAAGTCCTTTCTTCGCTTACTTTCTTTTCAGATTTTGGTGTTACTTCTTTGCCATTAGCCCAATACAGGAGCAGGTAGCTCCAGAGGTAAGGGATGCTTTTGACAGAAACTGCCAATTTTTTTTTTGTTTCTCACGCGAGAGTGCTAGTCACTGTGCAATATGTTTATTTGGAGCCAAACAGTCTCAATGGTTATCTATAAGTTGGCAGGTCTATGGAAACGAAATGATTGATGGAGATTAAGTGTTCGGTGATGTTCTGTTTAAAAGTCCTTTCTTCGCTTACTTTCTTTTCAGATTTTGGTGTTACTTCTTCGCCATTAGCCCAATACAGGAGCAGGTAGCTCCAGAGGTAAGGGATGCTTTTGACAGAAACTGCCAATTTTTTTTTTTTGTTTCTCACGCGAGAGTGCTAGTCACTGTGCAATATGTTTATTTGGAGCCAAACAGTCTCAATGGTTATCTATAAGTTGGCAGGTCTATGGAAACGAAATGATTGATGGAGATTAAGTGTTCGGTGATGTTCTGTTTAAAAGTCCTTTCTTCGCTTACTTTCTTTTCAGATTTTGGTGTTACTTCTTTGCCATTAGCCCAATACAGGAGCAGGTAGCTCCAGAGGTAAGTCATGCTTTCGACATTGCTGGCGCTTTTTTCCTCTCGTGAGAGCCCCAGTCACTATAACTCAGCAAACGTTAATAGGGAGACACATTTCCCAAGTATATAACAGTATTGAAGATGGTTGCTCCATCGTCAAACTTTTTAATAAGCCAAAAATTTACATTTTGTATATTTGTTTTGTACTGAGTATAGTATTCACAAGCAAAGCTGAAGTATCCTACTCATACTAATAGAGGGGATACTTATGATGCCTCTGCAACCTCCAAACCCTAATGTTTATTAAGGTGGCGATACAGGCGAGTTGTTTCATGGCAAAAACAAGGAACTGCACAAAAACACAAGACAAGTGGAAGAAGTAGACTGGACAAGTGCTGACTGACAACTAAAAGTTTATTGAAAACACAAAAAACACACGAGCAAAAGAAACCACCATCAAAAACACAAAAGCAATCAAACAACCAAAAAAGCATGCAGTAAAAGCAAGCACGATAGACCATCATCAATGAAAGCTTGAAAATTATAGCTCTTTGTTTTTTTGTTTGTGTTTGCTTTTGGATTTTGGATGGTGGTTGCTTTTGCTAGTGTGTTTTGTGTTTTCAGTGAACTTTAGTTGTCAGTCAACGCTTGTTCCGTCTACTTCTTCCACTTATCCTGTGTGTTTTTTGCGCTGTTTCTTGTTTTCCTAATGTTCAGTTGTAAACGCGAAACATTTCTGGTCGAACCCTGTAAATGTCGATCAGTGGGTCGGTCGTACCACATAAAAACAATATAGCAGGCAAAATATTAGGCTATGGTTATTAGGCAAATTATTTGGCTATGGTTATTAGGCAAATTATTTTCCTAAAACTAGCGGGCAAAAAAGAGTCCGTAATCTAAAGGGAAAAGAATTTCACAACACATAGCTTGCATGTAATCCGCGCCAGTTATGGTACGAATACCAAACAGACGACGGGCGCTGTATATTTTTTTTAGAACCAGAGACGCGCTAAATAATTTATACAGATTCCGCAGAGCAGTTGCACGCACTAATAATACCATTGCCCTAGGTCTTAGGCACGTGGCTATCATCTTAGTGTAAGGCATGAATTTGCAATTATTGTACTAAAACTGTAAAATGGTTTGCATTTCAACGAAAATCTAAGCAGCAATTTCGGCAGATGTTTTTTCAAGTGGTTATATTGACATAAAACCAAGTGTGAGGAAATGTCATTAAGAGTTTTTTTTTTTTTTTTCAGCGACATCTTTGAAGAATTTTTACGCCTAAGACGTTGTTACTAGTCATACGTTTAATAAAGCAACTTGGGAAAGATCGGTGCACTGTCCTGGTATTTCCTTAAAATGTACTACAGTCATCCGAAAAGATTTGTCACGTGGCTCCATAGGATATGCTGGGACCTCCTTAAAATGTCCTCCAGTCATCCATAAAGATCTGTCATGCAGCTCCTTAGGATATGCTGGGACCTCCTTAAAATGTCCCGCAGTCATCCTTAAAGATTTGTCACGTAACACCCTGGGATAAACTCAAAGTGGCCATTTCGATATCCTGAGAATGTCCCTGGATTATCTTTGCATATATTCGCATTTCCCAGGGATATCCAAATATCTTGAAAGGATCACCCAGGGATGTACGTCGAATGTACTTGTGTTGTCTGGGTTCTCTTTCTGCCCTTTCTTGAGCTCTCTACTTTTTTCTTCCTCCCACTAAAGAACTTGTTGCTCGTGCTTGTCTCTGTCGAGGGCCAGGCGCCTCTCCTCGAGGACGAGGCGCTTTTCTTCAAATGGAATGCGCCGTTCCTCCAGGTTGTTCTCCCTTTCTCGGGTGCCCTCTTCAAACCGCAATTTTGTTTCTGAAAAAGTATTAGATTCTCATTTTGTCTTTTTTTTTTCTCTAAAAACACGTAAAGTGCATGTTAGACAAATGTGTTTTTTTCAGAAATGTGCACAAACATTTCCTGGAGGTCTACATTGTGCTCACTTTGCCCAGCTGCATATCTGATTCGAAAGAATAACACCGGACAAGGATATCACGGAGTTGCAAATCGACATGAAAATATTCAGCAAGTTCATTTACGCTTCTGGAGCCTCCTTTACTTCCTACAAGAAAAGAAGCCCCACAGCGACATACGCAGGCACAGGAAACATGATGCAGTCATGAAATAGCCGGGAACGCGCCAATACAAAGAACATGAACGTGCACAGAATGATCGTAGGAAGCACAAAGGCAACGTGAAGATCAGGCAACCTAGGCCTTGAAGAACAGAGGTGAGATCAAGATGCCCAGATAGTTAAAGGATTTACTGTAGTCGTTTTTCTTTCACTGCGCGTGAATTACATTAAGTGGTAACAACAAATATTCTACTTTTCTTCTTAGATGCAGATGCATGCATTAAGATAGATTTGTCTTCTTTGTAACAGGATATCCCTGAGGTAGTTCGGTAAAAACTGTAAAAAAGGTATTTCAAAATACAAACATAGAGAGCAAGATTTTTTTTTCCGAACGTTGTCAGGCACTGGGGTTTCAGTTCGTGGCGATTGCAAATGGTAGTGCTTATGTTTCTCTCTTTGTGTCGGTTCATGCACCTCCCCTTACCTCAAGCCCTTCACCTAATCACAAGGAATTTTCTGTGGAGGTTTATAGAACATTTGAGCCGCTTGGGAAGCCTCGAACTTACCCCTCTGCACCTGACGGCTAGCTTCAGATTTCATGGTCTGCTCGGGTGAAGCTACAGGTACATGGCCTCGAACATCGATCGTGGCAGCTGCGGTTAACTCTCTGCTCTGGCCATGAGCCACAATTTTATATGTGTCGCCCACAGCTACCGTCGAGAGGAGCTCTGTCGTATCTACAACAGAAGGAGTCCCTCAAAAAATATGAAAAGGAGCACCTCTGAAGATCTTAACTTTTGGATATTGTCTTTTCTATTGGTAGTTCCATTAGTGCTTCCATTAATAGTTCAAGTATGCAGCACTGGCCACAGCATCTATGATAATGAAAAGCGTAGGCATACGTTTTGTCTTGCCCTACGATAAACTAAAGTCGAAAGCCTATGGGCTTTCAATCGACAAAATACAAAAAAACGGATAGAATAAAATGTGACTGTACCATGTATTTAAGCTAACACCTTGAGCTTAAAAGCTCTTCCACGTTAGCGGTGCTGCGACCACTAGCGGCAGTGATTTTGGCCGCAGAATTGGTGACTCCAGCGAAATCAACGCCGCATAGCGGCCACGCTGAGAAGAGCAAGAAAGGAGGTCACTTCGACTCTGTCGTCTGCTATCGCTGCTTGGTTCTCGCAGGCAGCACAGAAACATACATCGTTTCCCGTAATCATTTTTATGCTTCCACCGTGTCATTTTTACGCACTGACTATAAGAAAGTTTCTACTGTCGATAATCGCTTTGCTTTCATATGTAACACCGATTTTTCATCATGGTGGAATACGACAAAACAACGGGGACAAAAAACGAAGGGAGAACTGGACAGGACTCCCTTCGTTTTTTTGTCCCTGTTGTTTTGGCGTATTACACCTTATGCAAAACCAACTAGCCCAACTAGCCATCCTTATCCAATTTTTCATTTCATTTCATTTCATTTATTTATTTTTTGTGCTCATGAACAGCTTGACGCCTTGGTAATGATGCACAACAAAATGTTCACAAATGTTCACGCTGCAGAGCAAGAAATTTACGGTGGTCCACGTGCTGAACGACGAAAACTACCTCCTTTCGTCCGCCATTTTTCCTCAAAAGCGCGCTTTCTATAGTTCGCTGTAATCCCTAATTGCAGCATGCAAAACATGCTTAAAGGGCTACTTCGGCCAATATATTCTTGAATTTGGGATTACGACTGTTTTTAGCCTAAGCAGTGTCTTTGAATTACAAGGTATAATTTTTTTCTCGACATTGTGTGTAGTTTTATAAATATAACGGCTCAAAATTTTGTTTCGGGAATCTACGGAAAAACCGAAACTATCTGCTAGAGGGATGGCAACGCTGATCATCAGCCTACGGTCGCGTTGGGACGTCAACGTGGTGCTGCGGTGACCGCCTTGTATTTGTAGGTAAATTCTCTTGTCAGATCGGCGATCTCCTGGAGGAGGTGTTCTTTTTCGCTATATTGCTCCTCGGTGCCTGACCTGCGGCAGAGTAGCATCTGATCTCGACCTGGTGCTCAGATCTACGCACACACTTTAACGCCACATTGCTTTAAAGAATCGTTAGCAGCAAACGGAGCAGTACACTCACCTTCTTATGTCGGCGTGATGTTCTGCAGCAAACTGCGCGAGCAGCAAGTTGAGGCGGTCGCGTACTGCTCGCGCGGAAAAACTTTTGCCGATGGCTGAAAGAAGGTTGTTTGCGATTTGGGCCCATCTCGATGGGTCCTCAAACGGGTTGAGGGCGTAAACTTCCTGTAACAGCGAAATGTCACTTGCGCAGAAAAGCGCAGTCGCGAGGAGGCTGCTGCCGCTACTGCTGCCATCTGACTCATCATTTGCCTACTCCCGCCAGATTAGAACATGTTAGCCCTCTCGCAACTTATCGCGCATCACGAGCACGACGCAAAGACCCCATGCGTACGCACGCAATTTTTCAGAAATAGCGCACGCTAAAATTGCGCACGCGAACCGCAAAACCTGGTTTGCATTCGGAGCAGGAGCAGTGGCGACGACGCTATTCTTTGCGTACACACAGCTTCAGCGTGCCCAATTCTAAAACTCCCTAGTGAAATAAACGCAGGCTCCTTTCAATGAAACATGCTGTTGATGAAACGATCTGTTCATGAAATTCCGTTTGACAAACCGACTGCCACCGTTCGATAGGGTGTGTGCCCAGGGTGTGTGTTAGCCACATTAAAATAATGTATATTGTATGCATGAAACACTGTGGTACACATAACAAATTACCTGCGTGAGCTCCACATTTTGAAGGGTGCTTAACTCCACGACCACTTTTGCAAATTATATTTTTTTGAACGCTGCATATTGTGAAGACGGGAGCTGTTTGTACTACAAAACAGTCATTATTATAGTGAAGTACGCAATTCTTTCGCAGATAATATGTCTTATAAATACCGCCATGGCGCTTTGAAGTTATATTTCGGTTAGGGTATTTTTTTAGGACTGAAGCGGCAACTCAAGCAGTTTAGGGTGAAATAATGCAGTGCCTGGAAACGCCTTCTTAAGGGAACCGGCAGCAGTTTTTGGACATGGGTAAAATAATCGTGGTGGTTGTTCTTTGACACGTCTGAATTAAAGAATTGAAGATACATTTTGCCTACTTAATTTTACTTTATTAAAAAAGAGTAATATAATTGACGTTTGGGTAGCCTCGAGTCCACTCCCTACTCTTGCCTTCCGAGTCAAGTGCGTAGTAGCGTATTCCGGGGTGAACTATGGATACGAAGAATCCGGTTGGGTTCTCTTTCAGGGCTTCGGCCTGACGCGGCCTCTGCTAACACCATCTGGACATTAAGGCCCCGTACTCTCTCTCCCCTCAAGGGGCACCTCCATGAGTAGGTTGAACTGGTAGTGCGCTTCTTCGCAAGGCTTCCGTGACAGTTGGTTTCTTTGCAATGCACGTTCTCTATTACTTTCCCTCTCCCTCTGCTAGAACCACGGTGGCGCATATTTTTTTATTATTATTATGTTCTTTAGCCGGTGTTTGCGAAGACCCGGGAAACCCGGACCGCCACGGGTTTTCTCAACCTCCGTCCACCGCGTTCAAGGATGCGTTCAAAATGTTACTAAGCTGGAGCCGCGTTTACATGAATGCGACTTAGGTGCATCGAATCTAGTTGTCCCAATTAATGCATTCATGCAAACATAATGCGCTAAAGAAGCGCATCGCAATCAAGTCGCTAGACTGAGGTGGATCGAGACGGCGTATGCGCATGCATTCAGCCCATGTAAATGCAGGGCGCATCGCATTTTGGAACGGGGAGGATTATAGCCAGGCGCTCGCTGCGGGACCGCAAATTGCTGTGGGATCAACATAAAACATGGCGGCGGCGGAAAGCGGACTGGCGTCTTCCCGCGTTGTTTTCTCACGCGATGCAACGAGAACTTATTTGCGGTTCTAAGCAAGCTAAATATCGCGCAGCTACTTGACTCCCGGCGACAGCGAAGTTAAGCCGTCTTTCGGACAGTTAAAGAAGCAATGGAGCAGATAGGATTCCACTGGATGCATTTTACTAAGTTTTGAAAAACCCAGTTTTGATGCATTCTCTGGTTTTATTTTTTTATCCACGCGCACCTTGGCGGCAGCCGCCCTGCCCTCCTGCGGTTGAAGCGGGGAACTAAGTCTAGGTGCTT